CAACAAAAGAAACAGTTTAAAAACTATGGTACCTTCATTCACACAAAGGAGTACTTTGCAACAATAAAGGAAAAAAAATTAAGTGGCAAGAAGCTGCACTGGCAATCCCTAGAGAGACATGGTTTGAATCCACCATATGTTCTGCTGGAAAAGGAGGGACAATCTCTTCCTGTACCAGTCAGATTCAATTTGATGGTACACACAAAAAAAATAATAAAATAAAGTTATGAAACTCTGAGTAACATGGATGAGTCTAGAGGACATTATGCTGAGTGAAATAAAGCAATCACAAAATGACAAAGCCACTACTATGTGGTATGAGACCACTAATATAAAAAGCTGGAGAAAAGTTTATAAAGACCCATCAACAAATGAATGGACAGAGAAGCTGTGGTACAGCCACACAATGAAATATTATGCAGCACTGAAAAACAATGAACTCATGAAATATTATACAAAATGGGTGACCCTGGAGGACATTATGCTGAGAGAAATATCTCAGTCACAAAAAGACAAATACTGCATAATGCCACTGTTATAAAAAGACTGACATAGGAGTGGGAGGAGAGTGAGAAAGAGGGGATAAATAAATGTATACTGCATTGAAACAGATGAGGGAGAGAACTGTTTAAAAGGAATATATTATTAGGTATTATTGTCATGACAGGAGTCCAGAATGAAGGCAGCATAGTGAAGTAGACTTGGGGTGAAGGATTATATAACAATGGAAGAATTTTTCTTTTACTTTTCAAAGAGAAGAACGAACGGGGATGGGGTGGTGTCAAGGAGAAAAGTGCAACAGTGAATGAATGGAACTCCAAAGTCTCTGTAAAGTTTCAAAATTTAAAAAAAAAAGAATACTGCATAATGCCACTGTTACAGAACAAGACTGATATAGGAGTCAGGAAAAACTAAGAAAAGAGGGATAAATAATGTGCACAGCATTAAAACAGACAAGGGAAAGAACTGTATAAAAGGAATATATGATTAGGTATTAATGGCATGACAAGAGTCCAGAATATAAGAGTTGCATAGTAAAGTGGTCTGGGGAAAAGAGGACTTTTTAACAATAAAAGAACTTTTTCCCTAAAGAAAAAAGCAAACCGCAGGGGAGAGGGAACAGGGAGGAAAATGTGTAACAATGAATGAATGGAAATCCATGTTCTTTATAAACTTTCATTAAAATCTAAAAAAGGGGGCAAAAAAAATTATATACAGAATCATTCTGAATGGTTTCCAGGGATAAGAAGGAAGAGGGCAGTAAAAATTAATAAATATAAGGAAGTTATAAAAGAGTTAAGAGGATAATCAGATACTGCAGGTATAGTAATTTATGTTAAAACAAAATGTGTATAAAAAGTACTAAAGGGAAAAACATTGTTCTATAAATTTACATTTAAATCACAATTTTAAATTTACAATAAATTATTTTTAAAAGCCAGGATTACTGATCTGGTAAACTGAAAAAAACTTGTATAAACTCTGAGAGTAGGACTTTAAGTCACCCTTCAAATCTGGAACAAAACTCACCCCAACCCTGGCTCAACTTTCAAACCAACAGGTCTATATCATGACCAACAAAATGAGGCACTTACTCCTTAAATCATAAGCCATGGTTATTAAGAATTCATTTTCACCAACTATCTATCTATCTATCTATCTATCTAAAGTATATAAAACTACTTATATGGCTGCTATATTAACATCTGCTTATCCATGTTATGGTCTTTAGATATCAGCAAGTTGAGCATGACTCACTGCGATCCTATGAATACATGTGAACCTCATCCTATTCTGCACCACCCTCATCATCTTTGATACATTTGAGCCTACTGCTACAATCACTGTACCAACGCCATCTCATTGAGGGTCTTTCCCCTCCTTCACTGACCTTTCACTTTTCCAAGCATGATGTCCCTTTCCAAGAAACATGCCCTCCTAACAACATGCCCAAAGTATATGAGACGAAATTTAATCATCCTTTCCTCTAAGAAGCGCTCTGGCTGCACTTTCTCCAAAACTTATCTGTTCATCCTTTCTATCATCCATGGATAATCAGCACTCTTCTGCAAGACCGTAACTCAAAGGCATCAATTCTTCTGTCATCCTTATTCACTGTCCAGTTTTCCAATGCATAGCTGAATATATATAGTTTTTCATATATAGTTTTTCAGCTGAATATATATAGTTTTTCATATATAGTTTTTCAGAGTATATATAGTTTTTCAGCTGAATATATAGTTTTCCAATGCATAGTGGCTGAAAAGATCATGGTCTGAATCAGGTGCACTTTAGTCTTCAAACTGATATTTTTTCCTTAGTATTTTAGAAAGGTCCCTGACAAGAGATTTAGCCAATGCAACACGTCTTTGAAGTTCTTGACTGCCAATATCAAGAGTGCTGATTATGGATCCAAGAAAGATGAAATCATGACACCTTCAATCTTTTCTCCACCTATGATGATACTGTGTATTGGCCCAGGAGCAAGGACTTTTTATAGTGAAATGTAATCCACAGTGAAGGCTATAGTCTATGATCTTCCACAGCAATTCAAGGCCTCCTCAATTTCAGAAAACAAGGCTGTGTCATCTGCATAATGCAAGATGTCTGAGTCTCCCTCTGATCCTGATACCACATTCTTCTTCATAGAGTCCAGTTTCTCAAATTATTTGTTCAGTATAACGACTGAATAGGTATGAAACAAAGGATACAACTATGACATCTTTCTTGATTTTAAACCATGCAGTATTCCCTTGCTCTATCTGAACAATAGCTTATTCGTCTAAGTAAGGTTTCATACAAGCACAATTATGGGTTATCAAATTTCCATTCTTCTCCAATGTTAGCCTTAGTTGTCAAGATCCACACTATCTAAAGATATGATGCCTACACCTTCTCAGTCAATGAAAATACAGAATAACTATGGAAGGTCAAAAGTGCAGCATTTGCCAAGGATAAAGTTCAAAAGGCAGAAAGAGGTAGAAGGATTGACAGGAAAAAAATTACAGGAAAGAAGTGGGAAAATGTGTGATTATATTATGAGTATTGTCATTAATATCACATGATGTATGGTTGAATGAAAAAAATCAATCTGCTTTATAAATCTGCACTCAAATAACATTTTAAAGAAAGGAAAAAAGATACTGTTTCATCAATAAACTTATATTCAGGTCAAGGAATCCTCTCATGACACACTTCCAAGAAGCCATAAATTATTTTGGAATGTATGAAGAAAAAGTCTCCAAATTCTAGAATAATTATCTTAATAATTTAAATCTAGCCCTGATATCAAGTGTATAACTGGTGAAGTACATGAAGCATATAAAAGGTACTTAAAGAAATTAATGAAAGTTGGTCCTAAGACTTACTTTCCCTTTGTTGCTTCAGCAGTTAGGTTATGTGGTATCGAGTTGACCCTATGAACAACAGATGTTAATCTTGCCCTACCCTGCAATACCATCACAATCTCTGATATGTTGGAGCACACTGTAAATATTCAGTGTCAATCGCCTTTAGGGTTGTCTTCTCTTTCTCTGACCCCTCCACCTTTCCAAGTATTGTATCTTTTTCCAAGGACTAAGTCACTCCTGACAACATGCTCAGAGTATGTGAGACAAGGTTTTGCCATCCATGCCTCTAAGGAGCACTTGCTCTAAAAAAAAAGACTTTTTTTTCTTGTGGCAACCCATAGGATATTCATTATTCTTCTTCAACACAAGTCAAAGTCATCAGTTCTTCTTTTTTATTTGTGGTCCAACTTTCAGATGCATAGGAAACAACTGAAAATACCACAGCTTGGATCAGGCACACCTTAGTTTTTAAAGTGACATCACTGCTCTTCATCACTCTGGAGTGGTCTCTGAGAGTAGATTTTCCCAATGCAACACATCTTTTGGTTTCTCAACTGCTGTTACCATGCAGCTTGATTGTGGATCAAGTAAAATGAAATCCTTGATAACATCAATCTTTTCTCCATTTATCATGATGTGGTCTACTGGCCTAGTAGTGAGGATATTTTTTTTTCTTGATGTTGAGATGTAATCCATATTGAAAATTATCGTCTTTGATCTTCTGCAGCAAGTTCACAAGTTCTCTTCCCTTTCAATAAGTAAGGTTGTATTAACTGTTAAAGACAGGTTGTTGATAAGTCTTCCTCTAATCCTTATGCCACATTCTTCTTCACACAGCCCAGTTTCTTGCATCATTTGTTCTACATACAGAATACATATGGAGAAAGGGTACATACAGCCCTGATGCATACTTTTCCTGATTTTAAATCATGAAGTGTTTGATTGATCTGTTCAGACAACTACTCCTTGGTCTATGTATATACAGGTTTCACATGAGCACAATAAAGTGTTCTGGGACACTCAATCTTAGCCATAATTTGTCATGATCCACACAGATGCCTTTGCATAGTCAACAAAACACAGAGACATATTTCAGTACTGTGTGCTTTCTACCAAGATCCATCTGACCAGCAATGTTATCTCTCAAGCTATAGACTCTCTTGAATACAACTTGAATTTCTGCTAGTTCCCTGTCAATGTACTGTTTCAGCCATTCTTAAATTTTAAATTTTCTATTTTCAGTAAGATTTTACTTGCATGTGATATTAATGATATTGCTCAATAATTTCCACATTTTTAGTCAGTAAACTGTCTTCTAAATTTCTTGGTATAGATTAGTGAGCACGTCCAGGGTTGCAATTGTTCGTTGAAAAATGTCAACTGATACTCCATCAATTGCTGAGGGCTTATATTTTGCCAGTGCTTTCAGTGCAGCTTGAAATTCTTCACTACTGTTGGTTCTTGATCATATGCTACTTCCAGAAATGATTCATTGCTGACCAATTCTTTCTAGTACAGTAACTCTGTGTATTCCTTCCATTTAGGAAGGTCATAATAAGGATCAAAAATCTAGATTTCAACAGTGAGAAAATCATTTCACAATATATGTTCATTTACTCATAATTCCCCCAACTAGCCTAACATTCTTACCTTTTTCCGTACTCCTTCTTGGGTGCTAGATAATTTGAGCAAAACAGGAGGAAGAAATTTAGATATAATATTCTGTAACTGTTCATCAGTTTCGGCATGGCCAAGTCGTAAAAAGACTCGTTCAAGCTGATCTAGAATATAAAAAGAAAAAAACTAATCAAATATAACCAAGACTAATATTTTTTATCATTTATTCCTTTGGGATTATCAAAGGCCATTTAATAAAGAATTTAAAATTTAAAATTAGCTTGCACTATATGTAGATGCCTTTGACACAGCTACAAAACACTAATTCCACCATCTTAAAACAAAATTATCACTTACATACAAAGATATACAGTTCTCTAACTGACTTGAATACTAGGAAGGATTTAAAACTTTTGAAAATACCTTAAGCCTAATGACAGCAGAACAAGGCAGAAGAATTTTAACCAGAAGCCAAGGACAATACAACGATGGTTGAAACCATCTGACTAATAAAGTTTCTCCAAAAACAGAACTGCTGCCAATTACTATGTTGGGGTTACCTAACAGTTAAGAAAGGAATACTTTTTCACACACACACACACAAAAAAAAACCAGAAATATGTTTACTACACCATATTCTCAAAAAAAAAGAACCTGTGAATAACTATAAAACAGGCAACTGTTTCTTCAAATAACAGTGTACAACAGCAAGAGTGTAAGAGAGCAGGCAGAGTGGGAGGTAAAGAGGAAGGAAAACTAGAGACTTAATACATTAATACCAATACTACTGACTGGACATTTGACATTATAAAATTACTATTATTAGTTCAGGTGCTATAATTGGGGAAGGGAGATTTAGTTGGCAGGAGTTCTATAAACAAAATCAATCTGACCATTAGCCAATAATTGTTCAAGTTAAATGATGGATACTGTAATATACTTTAATATATACTTGAAATTCTGAATTATTTTTAAGGAAGTAGCACGTATATATGTATGTGTCTCTGTGTGTAAGTACTCACACATCTACACAGGTGTTTAATGGGAGCTGACAGAAGCAATGATGCCCTAAAAACAACAAGCAGAGCCAGCATTCAGATCTTAGTTTTAAAAGACCAATCTTCAATAACAGTTAAAGGAACCAGTGATCCTTGAAAAATGGATGATTCTAGGGCTGGTGCATGAAAAATATAAGATGAGCCTGAAGCACCCTGTAGTGCCAGAAAGGAAGTGAAACATGGAGCATGTCAAAGAAATAGAAGAACCAAGCTGAAAGAGGCCAAATGTGAGCAACTAAATACACAACATGGTACTGGACTGTGACCCTAACATAAAATAAATATAAGTAAAGCCACAGTGAACTTTAAATAACAAAATAGCTAACTGGAACAAGAAAAAAAATCTTATGAAAGAATTCTAAATAATATATGCAGATGTAAACCCTAGAAAAAATGGAAATTAATTTTTTTGTTTTAATTAATTCTTACGCCACACACCTTAAGGATAAAACAGACCTAGTGTTGTCATAGAATATCATGTATTCTTATTAGGATATGACAAGAAAAGGCATTTTTCACCTCTCCAGAATTCTTTCCAAAAACCCAAAACTCAGTATAATAATGAATAAAACAGATGGAAGAAAAACCAAAACTGCCTGGGAAATACACTGTAGTTTATCAGGTCAGTATTCTTCAAGAGTGCTATGGTCATGAAAAACAAGGGGATATGCGGTCAAATTGTGTCTGTTATTTCAAATAACCTTAGACCCATTCATTTATGTAGTAAAGTGAATAAATACTGCTTTCTGCCACAACCCTGTAACCCTCACAAAAAGACTAAGTAATATTACTCAAATGCAATGCCTGTGGCACTTCTTATTCGAAAAGCAGATTGTAGAGCTTGCTAATAATATAAATTAGATGCTGGGCCTGTGCAAATAGGCATACAAAACCCTAACACCGGGACTGATCACTTTTGCCATCCTTAAAGAGCACCAATCTCTGAGCAGGGAGAGGAACTTCTTGGACACCAAGAGATGAATATAGAATATGTCGTTTGGAACTTGGATTTCTATGCTGAAAAGTGCCGCAACTCAACAAAGACATCTGTTAACACCAGAGACAAAAAGAAATAGCACCAGAGAAACAGAGACCAGCAAAAGAATAGTGGGCTTGGCTTCTCAGCCCATAAAGCAAGGAAGCTAAGTGCCTGCACAGAGGGCTTGCCAGTAAAATCAGGTGCCTTCAGGCCCTTGATGGAGCTAGGCTTGTTGACTCATGGTACAACCTTAGTACTTTCAGGCTGAGGCTTACTGGTGAAGGTGCGGAGTACCTCTGGGCACTTACTGGAAAAAAAAAGAGTTTTGTGATACAGGCCCAAGCTACAGCAAAGGCCGGGCCAAATGCTGACTGGAATAATGCTGTGGGAAATACTAAGTTGCTGCCCCCCAAGAACTATTTCCTGACCACTCTTGTACCTGAAAAATAACCTACTGTTGTTATAGGCCTTTGAGTCTGAACCAACTCACAAATGACCATCCAGAAGCTTTCCAGAGGCTGCAAATCACATGGTAGGAGACTGCCCATTCTCCTATAAAGGAGCTGGTGGATTCAAACCACCTGTCTTTGGGTTGACAGTACAAGTCCTCACTCACTGTCACTTCATTAATAAACCCGATAAAGTACAGTGTAAGAGTTCTGTGTGGCCACTGTAACAAGCTGTCAAATCCTGCAGAGAATTAGCAAGTGCAGACAGAGGGATGGTTGGTGTCAGAATTGGTAAAAAGATTAGACAAAGGAAGTCTGTCTCACCTCTGACCCATAGGTATCAGTCTTGGGCTACTGATGTTGATTAATGACTCTTCTTCTTTATTATAAGGTTAGAGTAAATCATATGGCACTGCCACAGCATCATTTTTAAATTAGTCAAGGAAAGTAACCATAATACTCAGATTTCTGCAAAAAAATATATGAGCTCTCACACTAAATTAAATAAGCAAAAATTACAGTCTCCTATCCACACAAGACCTGGTTTAACACAAAATGAATTCTTTTTAAAGCTGGGCTCTTTTCTAGCCACTGACAAGTTGTACTTATTGATCGTAGGCTCAGGTAGGTTCAAGATTCAGCTCATAACATACCCTTAACCTACCACCAGAGCCCAGGAAGGCACTACTGCTGGAGAAGGCAAAGGGCATTAATATAGTTTGGTTTGGTTTATTATTACAAGAAGTGCTGAAAACCATGCTCACTCAGGTTGGCCTAGCACAGAAATTTGACAAAACTGCTGAAGTCTTAGCATCAAGTCCATCTTTGGGGACTATGCAATCTCTGGGTGCCTAGTGGTAAGAAGTTATACTGTCACCCTAAAGGCAGGTGATTTGACTCCAACAGATGCTCCCCAGGAGAAAGATGGGCAATCTCATTCTGTGATCTTCCACCTCTGAAAATTCGCTGGAGGGTCAGCTATGAGTTATTTCTGACTCTTTGGCAATGAGACTGAGATTAAGAGAATGCTGAGACTGTGGATAAAGTTAGTACAAGTCCGCATTGCTAGAAAGGAACCCAGACCAATGTGCAAGATTCTGTAAAATTAGAGAGGGGAAGTCTATAAAGCAGGTGGGTGGCTGTTAATAATTACAGAAAGAATTTCAGGCCAATGATGTCACTGCCTTCAAAGGCAAAAAATGAACAAATTTTTTAAAAAAATAAAACTTGGCTCACAAAAGCCCCAAAGTTGTGTTTTTTATAGATAGATATAGATATAGATATAGATATAGATAGATAGATCTCAAATATCTTTTCATAGCAGCATATAAAAATCTAACTTACGATAGCTACATGATAAACTAGTATATGAAGATCTGTCACTCACTGAACTCTCTATTTGGTTTTATAATAACACAAAATAATGCTCCAAAGGATATCCTCATCCATATGCTTCTATAGGTTCCTGTAAGTTTTCCATTTCCACTACCACAGAGTCGTTTAGACTCAGAGTGACCCTCTAGTGGGTTTCCAAGGCTATAAACTGCCCAAAAGAAAACTGGCCACCTTCCTCCCTAGACTCAGCTAGTCGATTCAAACTGTCAACTTTTTTGCTAGCAGCACAAGCAGCTATCCTCTATGCCAGAAGGGCTCCTCAACCCTGGAATGGAAGTGCTGAGTCTAGTTTAATAACTTTGAGAAAATGGTCCTTCTAAAAAGTGGCACTGACTGACACATCACCTGCAATGTACTGTAAGTTTCCTGTACCCTCATATACACTGAGTAAGCAATCCAAGCTGAACATAAAGGGATGGGCACTGCTGTCATACACTATCTTTTCAAATATTTCATGGGCATTTTCGTGTTATACACAGTACATATCCATTATCATTCTGAGTTACTGATTTGTAAAAGCTGTCATACATTGGGGAAAAACTTTGCCTTTTCTCTCATATGTTGGTTTTTGTGGGTTGTTTTTGTTTTGTTTTGTTTTTGTTATCTGCTTTCTAATTCTAATAGTTTTATTTCCTTTTCTAAGCTTTTTAACATAGTTAAGTTTACTGTTCCTCTCCCATATAGCTTCTATATGTGATTTTTACTCCAAGATTATAAAGAGCTAACACAGTAGGCCTGAAACAGCTATACTTAGAAAGGCCTGCGTATAAGGTGAGGACTCGACTGGTACTTGGAAACTTGGATTTCAGGTGAATTCCCACCATCACCAGAACTGATTGGTGTGACTCACTGTGCCTAAACTATACTTAAAAGGTGGTTTATGAACACCTTCTTAGGCAAAGGTGCCTGCCTATGTGACCAGCTCCCCAATAAATAACATGGGTATCGCTCCTCTAGTGAGCTATTTGTTGTCACAACTCACTGTTTGTAGAATTAAGTATAACTTGTGTGTCCTGATTTCACTGGAAAAAATTTTGGAAACTTGTTGCTGGTTTCCTTAAAACCTTATTCCAGGTACTTTTCCCTTTTGTGTATTTTGCATTAAATTCTTTGTTGTGTGTGTGTGTGTGTGTGTGTGTGTGTGTGTGTGTGTGTGTATACACACACACAGTCAAATCGGATCCAACTGGTAGAGGAGCATCTGGTGGATTTGAAGAATGCACCTTCAGGATTACAGTGCAGCTTCTTGTCACTAGGCCACCAGAACTCCCTTGTTATA